TTGGATAGTTCAGGTGCTTACAGTTGTTTTACATATATTTTACGGGTGTTTTACGAACCATTTGCAGCTTATTTGCATGCTATTTTACATGCCATTTACAGGTTATTCCATACCGATTTTTCTTATAGGGACGTATTTTCAAATTTTTTTAATCATAAGGAGGGATTCTGATAGAATTTAAAGCTAATTCATTTTTTGTGTGGTAACCAACTGTAGGATTAAACATAAACCGTTCTTATTGACTCGGAAGTAGTTTGTGAAGAACAATTCAAAAAATTCAATAAACGATTTCTTTGTTTTCTTAACGTTAATGTTCATTGCAACATTCGGTATTTATATTAGGATAATTATAAGCTATCCGAAGGTGCAACTTTTAGGACTTGAAATATTTCATATTCATCAATTCGAAATGGCCCATCCACATTACGTATCCGGAGTTCATAATTTCCCCGCTTACAATAAGCACTTTTTGGATCCAGTACACCACCAATTCTCAAATCGCTCATACCAAAACTCAAAAATCCAAGGGAAATATCCGTAACAGCTCGTTCCCAACAATTCAGCAAAACCCGACTTAGAACATGCTTTATAGGAGCATGTGTGTTTGTTTTTTTCGTTGCTGATTCACGATTTTCCATACCATCAACATTAGAGTTCTCGTCGTCCAAATTGCTATTGGGCTCACGATCAACTCGAAAAGAAAAAATAAATGAATCTTTCGTAGCAATAAATTTGTTAGTGCTTGTTATCGTGGGAGTATAGCCGCCAATTACTTCACCAGTTCCCGCAACTTTGGCTACAATTATTATGGGGACATTTAAGTGCTCTCGTCGAAGATTTTTCAGTGAGAAATTCTCTTGACTTGCTCGAAAAACTAATTTGAATCGATACGGACTACACACTTTTCCAGTCGCCGTATAGTCGCGATGGTCAATCCAACTAGCGATAAGACTGCTATGACAACTCGTGATAATTTCCGAGCATAACCTTGCACGTGGTGGTAATAAATCACTAGACGACTTGAATACATTAGTGGAATAATATTCGGAAAGTTCCTCTTGAAGTTTTTCTGGTAATAACGTCTCTTTATTTAAAAGGTGACGTTTAGGAATATCAGAAAACCGAATATGTGGGAAAAACGGCGCAAGAGTCTTTGCCAACTCTATACAATCTTCTTTTTGACAATTAGAAAGTTCTTTATTTTTTAGCGATGGTGTATTCGTTAACCCCCATTCAATTACATGCTGCCAAATATCTTGTTCGTCAAGACAAATTTCTTCCTGTTGCAATATTGAGACGAGCGCAGATTCTTGGATCGAGCAAAATTCGTCCGAGGCAAAAAACTTTTTGGGCGCGCACGTTACAATGTTTATACAGTATTCTTGTAGCTCTTTTGCAGTGTCAAGCTTAAATGCCAAATCTAGAACTTTGTAAATATTTTGTTTTAACCAGGCTGTCTTTTGTGTAATAAGAAATTTTTGAACATAGGTAAGAAGTTCTTCAAGAACTAATTCATCTGCTGTCGCTAAAAGACCAAGCATATTTGTATTTTCGGTGATTGTTATACTGCCACTATACAAATATCTAAGAAAATTATTAAAATTAATTCAGGAAATGAAACAAAAAATTTCATAGAATCTAAAATACAATAATACTTTAGAATCAACTCAAAAATATCTGGTAATGTATTTGGCAATGTTAAAATAAATTTATCGTGTTCTTTCTTTGCCCAATTACTTGACAGCGCTGCACAAAAGTACGAGCATCGTGCACGTAAGATAGCCGAATGTGCCTCAAACATTTTCGCATCCAAATTTTCAATCGCAGTCCCAACTTTAATTATCACGTTATAATCATCCGCATTCTCAAGAAAATTAGAGAAATCCGAAGAAAGATTGTTAAAAAAGGTTGAAGTAATAGTAATATTCATTTGTATGTGTGGTTGGTCAATTATGCCGTGTGTATATATTAACGTTAATTTTGTGCATGTTGCACGGCAGATAAATGATTAAATGTAAATTTCAAAATGCTGAAAATTCAAAAACAATTCTACGTACGTATTTGCTATTTGTAACCTAACGTTAACGCTAATTACATGTACATGTATTTGGATAAATACGTAAATAACGATAACGATAAAGTGAACATTTCATATCGATATCTATAACTAACATCCTAGCGCTAATTCTCCAATTACATGTAGTACATATTGATCGATATCATCAAACACAATTACGTACGTACATATAGATTTTTAACAAGTCTGAAAAGGTTAATTTATCCTATGAACTTTTTAGTGAGAAAATTACAAACAAATTTTGAACGACCGAATGTCATATATGGGTGAAGTCAGTAGAAAAGGGAAAAATATATTAGAGTAATTTGTCCTTTATGTTGGATATTAATCGAATGTATGAAGAATTGTGATCGTGATTATTACATGTACTTTGTGTCTAATATGCTGATTTAATAAAAACTGTTTATTGTTGAGAAAGTTTGCTTTTTCACTTATTGTAGTAGATATTCTAAATATACCAGTAACGAAAACTTTGACTATTTTATAAACAATGATACAAAAATATGTTTAAGCACACCATTTTTAACAAAGTACAAATAATAATAAGATGTGTTTACTTCTCTTAGTAGAAAAACAAGTTAGTCTCATTTTCTAATTAAAAGGAAATTTATCGTTGATAAATGATAAAAAAACATTCATATTTATCAATATAAATTTTGAATTTATAAATCTACAATAATACTTCGACATATATAAAATTGCAACTTGACAGTATTGAATACATTTATCCAAAAAATTATTTCCATTAGATATATAAGTTTAGCCTCAATTCACACCATATCGAATAAGCTTGTTCATAGTAACGCCAGTACTCACCACAACAGTATTCATTGGACCGTATTCGTTATTTTCAGTGTCAGAATTTGCAAAGTCAGCGTTATGAAAGCACATGCAATAATGTACATTTTTTAAATATTAACAATTTTATAAAAAATAAGAAGCACTTGAAGGTCTATTATTGTTATGAATAATTTATTAATGAGTATTTAAATAATAAGAAGGATCCATAAATACATTTCTAAAAACAGAAAAAGAAATTTTTAGACGACAGTGTCAACAAAAACAATAGAATATACAATTCACTCAGCTTTTTCAGTAATCTGTGCGTTACGGTTAGTAAAGTATAAAAACACTTTTTTTTATTTAGGAAACGAAACAATAGATTTGTCTATTTTCGAAAAAATTCTTAATACGGCATCTTTATCAACAACACCTGCAGCATATGATAATTCGATCAGTCAAGAAAAAACAGACCATCACAATATTGAATCGCGTCTAGAAAAAATTGCAATTCTGGCGAAGCACTAGAGGATATAGCTAGAAATCTTTGAAAAAAAATAATTTCCTAGTTATAACGAACAATTTATAAAAGACTTTGAAGTCAACAATCAATTCACATTGATTTTGGGATTTTTATCATTATGGAATTAAATTCGAACAGAATCATCAAGTTGCTTTTAAAAATTATGAAAATTCAGCAAGGCAAAGTAATACATTGGCCAAATATTTACTTTGCTTTTACTGGATTTTGCTGTCGGAACACAAAAATGTGAAGAAAAGCATTTGAGCGGCATTTGAAAATGGAAGTACGCAAAGTCAATTTATTGCTAGCAAAATGGAATAGGAACACAAAAAGATGAGGAGAAAACATTTGAGTGGTATTTGAAATCAGCAGAAAATGGAAATACACGAGAACAATTTTTTGCTTCGAATACAGTATTGGAACGCAAAATATGAAGAAAAAGCATTCTACTGGTATTTGAAATCCATTAAGAAATTAAGGATAGGAATCGATTTCAACATCGATTAATTATTTCGTTTATACTCGATTAATCGTTTTAAATAAATTTGATTAATCGATTGATATTCGAGCACAAATTATGATGACGACGACGAGACGACAGCGATGACATAACTGGTCTTTGGTTTTGTTTTTCATTACATGTTGATTTTTCCCTTTTCGTGGGAATGGTTGAAGTTGTTCTTTGATTAGTCGAAATAGGATAGTAAGCCGAAAACACCTCTTATTTTTGCAAAGCTTATTTGATATTATCGTATCGTTATGCTGTGAGTGAGAAAACTCGAATATGAAGTTTTTTTGTGTTGCTGCGGAAGTAACACAAATTTTAAAATGGGATAATACTGTGGTGCAGCTCTTGCTTCGTGATATCATAGCATATACCCTTTGGTTTTATCCCACATTTTTTATAACAAACAAAAAAACTATAAATAGTCGTGCAATTCATTATTCATAAAATTCATAAAACATTCATAAATCATTGTGTCATGGTTCCTTGGCTCCTTCGTGTGCATGCAACCTTTGTCCTTTTTTATTTATGACATCCTGCCCCGGCTGGGCGGGATGTCTTTCAATTAGCTAAGCAGGATGTGTTAAATAAATTACATGCCCTGCTCTCGAGATTTATTAGCGTGTGCGTGATTTGTGACTAATTGGAAAGATCCAAAAATATTTGTTTTAAATAAAAAAATCAACAATAACAATAAACTTGAATTCACTAACAATGACTTTCTTATTCTTACAAATGTTGATATAATAAACATAAAAATAATCTAACTTTTTCAAATTCACAATATTCAAATTCATAGTACATGTAATAAAAAAAAGATTTTCACAAGTACATTACATATTGAGTGGGCTAAGCATGCATGCTCCATATCGATATACAGATGAACCAGAAGATCTCTATGTTGATCATTTATTGCTTATTATTATTTATTGGAACGAGGCTGCGTTGCGGCAGCGAAATATTATGAAAGCCACTATAATTACAGTATGTTGAAATAATCAAACCTATATTTTTTATACTTTCTAACCTTATCGTTATTTTTTGGACCAGCAATTCTAGGATTTAGCGGATGTCAGGTCTTCCTATGGAAAAACAACAAATTGCTCGGGATATTGTTGGAAGACTTCAGTAAACTTATGTTTTAAGTTTGGCTGTAGGTACCAGGGGCGCTAGGAAGAGTCTATATTGTTAGAGATACTAAAATGGTGTGCTCGAAGTTGAGGAAGATCCTCATGGTATTTAAATCTGCTTTAGTTGATTGATCATTTTGGTCGACTAGTCAATTTTAGCGCAGTTTTCTAAAAAAAAAAAGGAAATGTAATAAGCGACTGTCACATAATGATAACGATAATTGATTGTATCCATTAATTAAATTTATTTAACACTAGGAATAACCATAAAAAGGTATACGTGCGTGGTTGATACAGGTGCGCCGGATGCAATCTTGCCATACCATGTTAAAAGGACGCTTGGGAGTAGGGGATGGAATAGGATACCAAGAATAGCTGGATTACGGGGGCGCCTGCAGAACACAAATTTGTGCGTCTAAGATATTTGAGGTGTCCATGAATGATGATAATAATTGGACCAAGTGGGTTTAAGCCAAAATTCTACTCTGGCTGGCAATCAGGTGGAATATGCCCTTATCTGTAATGATGTTACAGAATAATTTCGTAACTGTAAATCTGAAAATAGGAACCTATTGTTATAGTGCTGCACCCAGTGTTTAAAATTCATTTAAAAATTAATCTGCGCGCCCGTATACTTTCAAAATAATCTATCTGCGCAAAATTTTCTCAATATGCGCATGATATAATATCAATGCCTCATATTATTGAATTTAAGATTAAAGTATGAATTTTTTATCTGCGTAATCTGCAAATTACTTTAAAGATTCTCTGCGCAACCAGTCTCAAATCTGCTGTGCGCAGATTTCGCAAGTCAATTTTCAACGCTGATCGTGCACCTTAAATATAAGGGGGTGTACAGTACTGTGTTTAAAAGTCACCATATGGGGGGAAGTCAGTAAAAAAGGGACAAATTAATTTTTTTTCAAAATGAGTTTTTGTACATAATAAAAAATTAATATGGTGCATAAAATCTAAAGTCATCAAACGTTTGGATTTTGTAAACTGTATAACTTCTTTACTAAGAAGTAAATACAAGATTTAATCTGTGAATATGCTCAGAAAGGATCTATTCTATCATATTCACGGACTAAATTTCTTAGTAAAGAAGTTTATACAGTTTACAAAATCCAAACGTTTGATAACTTTAGATTTTATGCACCATATTTCCTCAAAAGTTGTTACCGTTACCCCTTTAGATAAACATCCTGATTTATATGGATGGTCATTTTTCTTAGACCTGCATTATGTAAACAATATTTTATATACATGTAGTTAAATAAATTTGTATTACAATAACTATTATAGGTGCACATGACTGTGCTCGAGTCTGTCTTTTAGACCGAACCTCAATTAAAACTCGGCTTCTGGAGCCGATCGAACCGAACCAGACTTTTAACAGCCCTAGTCACCATTACCCCCTTCAGATAAACATCCTGATCTATATGGTTGGTCATTATTTAATTTTTTCTTAGACATCATAACGTAATGCAAAAGCTTCTGTTGACAATTATTTTCCTAGAATTATTCCACATTATGGTTCATATTTTGATAATTTGCTATTATGATATTGTGATCTATGTACATGTAATTTTATTATTGAAAATGGAATAAAAAATAATCAAGAAAGCAAAAAATGCTTAATATACAGAAAATATTTATCTAATGAAAAGATAAAATAATTGTGGATTGAATTTCTTTAATCATTAAAACCCTCTAGCCATTAGCGTTAGCCCCGCATCTAATCCGACAACTGCATCTAAGCCAACAATCTATCTCTGTCGAATAAAAAAAGTACCAGCAAATTGCTCCAAATCCTATTACAACAAAACTGACGACATAAGGAAGGTAATATTCATACCCGGCGTATTTGTAAGTGGAACTTTCACATAATTGGTCATCTTTGGGTTGTTGTGGTAACGAATGAGATATTTTTGACGAGTCATTTATAAATGACCCAATTAGTATAAATAGTGTGAAGATAATAAATATTATGGGTATTAAGATGAACACTTTGAATGGGCGAAATAGATTGGGTTTAGAATGGCGCAGAAACTAAAAATATTTGTAAGAATTATAATTAGGATTTTGCAAGTTTCGGCAAAATACGATTCATATAAAAAAACTTACCAATAACCCCAAAACACTCAGAAATAGAAATATCCACATGCAATATTCGCCCAAACTGATGAAAAATTTAAATGGATCATTATGTGGATAAACGATAATAATCAATGAAGACCAAACTGCTTGTGTTATCTGAAATAAATAATTAATTGTTTATGATAATAAATCAAAGAAAATAAGTTCTTGAGCTTGAGAACAATAAAATATATTCTTATACCAATGCAAAAATTGGAGTATCTGTATCTTCATTCCATTGTTGTAACCATGACGAGAAAGGAATATAATTTCTTCTTGCGGCAGCTACAATTACTCGAGAGCCAGCCCATACATTCGCAGCCAATGCGCCAAAAGCTGATAGAGAGACGAACAAGGATAATACACGAGCTAAATCAAAGCCACCGACTTGGAAAGCGAATTTGCTAGCAATGATTTCTGAAGGTTCATTATTGCCGGTTATTTTTGACAATGGTACATTTGTGTATGCGATATTAGCACAAAGGTCTAGTATATACAAAGCCATACATTAATATATCAAATTTAAGCAAATATCAATAAAGCATTCTCATTCTCATACTTACACAAAAAAGTAACAATACCGACGCTAATAATATTTGACGTGAATAATTTCGTTTTTGGATCGACGAATTCATCCAAAGTATCTAACGATAAAAAAGATTAACGTTGACGTTAAATGCCCGAGCTCTATTTAAGCGCATATGAAATTTTTCACTTACAATTTAAATTATTCCAGCCACCATATGCAAATAAAATAGGCATAAGTGCAGCAGTCAAAGAACGCGCACTGATATTTACATCACTGGGAAACATATTTTTCCAATTCGCATTTTCATCGTTAATAACCCGAGGAATTGTTGCTAGTCCAATAATCGATATTGTAAGAAGTGTTGACATCTTTATGATTGTGAGCGTTTGATTTATACGATTTGCCCATTTGTTGGACGCCATGTGGTAAATTGTGATTATAACTATCGCAGCTAACGAACAAAGTCGTATTTGCCAAAAATTCCAATCAGCATTGTATTCCTTTGGATGCAGATAATCTATGTCACAATGCCCTTTCGCTTTAACTAAATATAAGAAATATTGTGCGAAAACGTTTGATATAGCGGACGTATAGGCTGGTTGTATTGCTACAATCATGGCAAAACTAAACATATAGCTAAATAGTGCTCTTGGACGAGGATATGCTCGTTTCAAATACACTATTTCTCCACCTCCGTCTGGTATAGAACTCCCTAACTATCATGTGTTAAAATTAAGATGCTAAATTAGATGTAAATAAAATGATATTAAACAAATGAAAAAAATAAATACCTCAACATAAGAAAGTGATCCAAACATGGCGAAAATTCCACCCACTACCCATAAAATTAATGCAATCCCAGGAGATTGAATTGCACTTAAAACTAGACCTGGGCTCGAAAATATCCCGGCACCGATCATATTATTGCAATTATTTCCGATACCAGAAAAAGTTCCTAAAATTTTGTTTCTTGTCGTTGTCTCGTTGATGCTTGTTTTTCTGCTTGTGCTGGTGCTTGTGTCGGTACTTGTTCTTCCCAACGTGTTCGTACCATTATTATTATTAATATTATTCATTGTTTTAATTTTTGACAACACATGAATCTGTAAAGCTGTATAAATATCATATTCAAATGTCTCGGACGTGAGGATCCGACAAAAGTTGATTTTTAAAGTTTGAAAAGTAGTATTACAAGCACAACATACGTAACAAAAGAACAGTACAGTATTCGACTTTTGCACAAAGAAAATTATCATTTCATTTACATGTACATATAATTAAATCAAATTTCTCTCCGTAACATTCTGCAACACAAGTTCCACAAAAAACATACGTAATTAAAATGACCGCAATAAGAAAATTTCAAATGAAGTATACGGCAACCGCCATCTTTAGTTAAAATATAATGACTTTTAACCTCTCTATTTGGTCTTATTTGAGCTTTAATAATCTATATTTGGACCAAAGAATGTTCAGTATAGTGACCAGACCGGAATTGTTGTCAAGCCAGATTTTTCCAATTATAAATTTCTGTATACATATAATTAATCAATATCGATATGCCTTAATTAACTGAATTTATTGAAAATCATAATAAATTTAACCGATATTTCGATAAGACAGATAAATTCCTTTTTTTGTCTCCGGTTTAACGAGAGTCACATCAAAACTGTGTTAGTAAAAATTTTTAGTATATACCTTTATAATGAATGACTAAGTTATTGTAAAATCCAAAATTCGTTATATCGAGATTTTAATTATACTTCGTTACAATCAGTTTTGACTGTATGTAGTAATATAGCTTAATGAAATTTTTGTTGTCTAATATAAAAAAAGACTGTCACAAGATATTAATGAAAGTTGCAATAAAAAAATTGGTTTACGGATAGTACTAATTGTCATAACAATAAATTGGTGGTATCTTTTTCCTCAAAAGAGTAACAGAATTTTCTCAACAAAAATAGTATTTTATATATTACTTCTTTCTTTGAATAGCAATTTCAGATTTAGCTATAAAAACTAGACTTTAGTCCCTAAACATTTTCTTATAAGAAATTCTGATGAAACATATTATTTATAATTTAAAAACTTAAGACACTGAATATTGTTTCGATCAATATGTTCTTGACGTTAAAAAAAAATCTATTCTATCGGATGCAAATTATTTTATACACTTATCGCTGTTTGCAAAAAGGTGTAGTCATTCGAATTGCAGTTAGTGTGGAATCTGAGAATTTAGCTTGTATATCCAATATCGATATATACATCAAACTATTAGATAAATTTGTGAGATAAAAGATAAATGCCGTTCTACTGTTACCGAAGTAGCATTAAATTCTTCGATTCCGTAATTTTCAATTTCTACATGAAAATTAGTTTCTTGTGTAAGTTCTATAAATAGATATTTCTTTTTTTATCGTTATTTATTTATATCGAATTACGATCGTTCTTTTAATATAACGTATACAACGATCATCGAGAGGGTAACAATGGTAACGGTAACGATTATCGAAAGGATAATCCCGACAATCATCTGGACAATTGAAGAGCATCGACGAAATGTACGTAACGATAGTGACTGTAAAAAAGGGGATAACAATCGTCTGGACAATTGAAAGATAATCGAACAATTAGTGTTTAGTCTTGTTAAAAGAAACCATCAATGTAAATTACTAACCTTAGAATTAGCATAGGATTAGCGTAGTAATTCGAAATTGTATATAGAAGCATCTTCAAGTCGCTGAGAAGACATGCTTTGATCATGCTTTAAAATCGAATAAAATAACAAAGTTCTTACTTGTAATAACAATATTATTTGTGAATACACTATTATTTTCTTTCATTTCGTGATCAAACTTCAAATCTTGTGAGTGATTGCAAGTAGTAGATGCTCCTTCACTCTAAATAAGCCGTTGAATTCTTTTGAATTGTTATTTTGATTTTATTTTTTTTGAACAGGCCGTATCGATAAGTCCTGTTAAGTTGATTTTGTTTTCTTTGTATAGACCGTATCAATGAGTCCTGTTGAAATTAGTTTTGTTTTTCTTGGACAGGCCATATCAATAAACCCTGTCAAATCACCCTTTCGTATTGAGTTTCTTTTTGGACAGGCTGTATCAATAAGTCCTGTCATATTCGCATCAATTGATATTAAAATAAAATAAGAACTTTATTATAACGAATCGACTCTTATTACAAGAGTATTCTATCATATCTTTTCTTTAAATATCCCCTTATCATTTTAAAAAGGCCGATTTGTAAACAAATCGCCACGGGGAACCTCAGAACAACCGGAGAGACCCTCCAACTGTAAATAATTCAGTTTAACTCACACCCCGTTGCAGAAAGTTCCTTGAATCGATTGTTTATTGCAATAACTGCAATAATCTGGTGCCCCCAAACCATCGCAGAATAAGTCCTTTCGGTAAATATTAGAAGAAACGCAACAGTAGTCAATATCACCGCCATTACTTTCCGTGCTGACTGTATAAGAGTGAGAAATGTTAAAAAAATGAGGAAAAATTTTGATATTCCCCTTTTATCTAAATACAAATTTCTAGCATTGCTAATATTAATATTGCTAAAATAACAAAATTAATTTTTATAATCAAAAGAGAAATCAATGTCATTATTTTTCTTTTAAAAATCACATCAATGAGCCGAAATGAATCAGCACTTGAAGAAGGAGCAGCATTATTTGTTGGGATACTATTTGATGTAGGCACAACGGAGGTAATTATTTACGGAAGAATCATCCAAAGTGGTTGTAATGGATGTTGTGAAGAAGTTTGCAAAGTGGATATCAAATATTTTATGGAAACAATGGGATTAGTATTTGTTTTTATAGGCACTTTATTTTGTATTTTTGTCTGAGAATTTGAGCCATTATCATTACACTCTGTTCCAGTAGTTTTCTGAACAGTTTGCTGAGCTGGTAAATTATATTCAGCTAAATAAGGTAAATTCTGGTCTTTCTCATGCTAAATGAAGTGAACAAATTTGAATATAATGTGTGGTTCAATTTATTTGATTTTGGTAAAAAATTATCTTTAAAAACATTCTATTAAGATTACATAATTGATATAAAATTATCTTTGTTTCGTAGGATATTATTCATATTTGTGTAGTTGTATCCGTAGGTATAAATAGTGCATTCGCAGATGAAATAAGGTTTTGAACTGTGGTAGGACTGTTGTTTGTACGCTGATTTGGATACGTTAGCTTGTTATTATTTCTGTTTTTTCCAATATTACCGTTTTCACCATAACCATAACCATAACCATAACCATAACCATAACCATAACCATAACTATAACCATAACCATAACCATAACCATAATCATAACCATAATCATAACCATAACCATAACCATAACCATAACCATAACCATAACCATAACCATAACCATAACCATAATTATAACCATAACCATAACCATAACCATAACCATAACCATAACCATAACCATAACCATAACCATAACCATAACCATAACCATAATCATAACCATAACCATAACCACCATTACCACTAAAAGTTACATTGTTATTTTTTCCGTTACCGCCACCACATCCATTATTATTTCCACCTCCAGTGTCATTGTCGTAGCACTAAAACATGATCTAATTAAAGTATAATTTTTAATTTTTAACGTCAACGAATATATTTTTAATAATACATAAGCTTGTTAAGTTAAATCATTGAAAATATATCGATACTGTTTGTTTTTAGTTTTGTCTATTTATACTATTAACATTACGTTAAAAAATCAAGCCTCCAGAGATCTTTACTGTAGTTTCCTTGCTTACTTGATAAAAGTAATAGAATTAGAACCTTCTATACAGAATTATTTTTCGATTTCATTATGTATTTGACTTTTGAGTGAAAATTCCTTGAAACGAATGACGAGGACTGTATTAAACAGTTGATAAAGCACTCCAGCAGTGTTTACTTGTTTGATATTTGGTATAAGTATATAACCCTAACCCTAATTCTCTGAGTTATCAACCCTCCCATATATCAACAAAATAATCCGGTCCCATGAGGTTGATAATAGAGAGGTCAGACTGTACTGGAATAACTTTCAACAATTAACAAAAATAATTTTGTACTTTGATTAGAGGGCAAGATATTTTTAATAGTTATTTCCTGTGAAGTAAATGAATTTGGTGCAAGTCAAAATGCCTACTGAGAATAATTTCAAGTTCTCTTAAAATTTCGCACAGAAATTTTTAATTTCTAGTCGAAATTTTCAATATTTAAATATTTACAAAAATCGCCGCCGTTTGGTGCATATTGAATTGTTCTCGCTATTGAGTATCCATTCACAGATCTTTTACGTTTATATGTTGAAGTTACTAATTAATATTGAAAACTTTATAAGAATTATTTTACCACATTTGTGTATTCTGATATAATTTAATTAGATTCTTAACACAATTTCTATCTGATCAATAAAAATTTTTTACTTCACAAGTTGGTGATTTTGCAAGAAACGATTTTTCCATAAAAACTGTTCATAATTTTCATATTATTATAATTGAAATTAATAAAATACTTCTTGATCCTAATATATAATTCATAAAAATACAATAAAAAATAATAAAAAATAATAAAAAATATATGTAAAATACTGGAAGGCAAAAAGATATATAACCAGAATTTCTATGTGCTATAAAAATATACGTATAGAATTCAACATATCGAAACAAGAATCAAAAAATTAATTATATTCTAATATCAATTGAATTTGCTATTTCAAAATATATGATGTTTGACAATTACAATCAGAATAAATTTCTTCAAAATCTGAAGATTCAACTATTTCAGGAGCTCGATCGTGTCCATTTTCTTTAGCCTTTTGATACCATATTAAAGCTAAATCGAGATCTCTTTCAACGCCTATTCCATGTTGATAAAACTTTCCAATATTGAATTGAGCTTTATTATGATCTAATTCTGCTGCTCTTAAGTAATGATCGAATGCTTTACTATCATCTTTGTCTACCCCTTCCCCATATTCATAACATTGCCCAAGTCGAAATTGTGAATCAAAATAACCATCTTCAGATAATATTAAAAGATATTTGAATAACATTTCTTGCATTTCTCTTGGAAGTAAAGTTCTATCATACCCAAATCTTAATAGAAATTGACTTCTTTCATATCCAGAATGAGCGGATTTTAAAAATAATTCTGATGCTTTTTGTTCATCTTTGATTGTTCCTTGCCCTATTGAGTAACAAATGGCAAGGTTATATTGCCCTCCAGCAAATCCACCCTCTGCTGATTTTAAATACCACTCAAACGCTTTTTTATCATCTTTTTGTGTTCCAAAACCACCTTCATAATAGTATCCAAGATTACATTGTCCTCTAGCATCTCCACCCTCTGCTGATTTCAAAAACCATTCAAATGCTTTTTTGTCTCCGTTTTGTGTTCCTGTTCCATAGAAAAGGGCAAGATGACATTGTCCTCTAGCATCACCACCCTCTGCTGATTTCAAATACCACTCAAATGCTTTTTTCTTATCTTTTTGAGTTCCGATCCCATTTTGATAACAATAACCAAGATTACATTGTCCTCTAGCATCTCCATTTTCTGCTAATTTCAAATACCACTCGAATGAGTTTTCTTCATCATTTTGTGTTTCAATAGTATCCCGATAGCTGTAACGGTCAATTCTTCCTTTACTTGCTTCTTTCAAATACCACTCGGCTGCTTTTTTATTGTCTTTTTGTGTTCCTATTCCATTTCGATAGCAATAACCGAGATTATTTTGTCCTCTTGCATCACCATTATTTGCTGATTTCAAATACCATCCAAATGCTTTTTCTTCATCTTTTTGTGTTCCTATTCCATTTCGATAGCAATCACCGAGATTATTTTGTCCATACGCATTTCCATTTTCTGCTGATTTCAAATACCAAGAAAATGCTTTTTTTTCATCTTTTTGTGTTCCTATTCCATATTGATAGCAATGACCAATTTGATTTTGTCCTACCATATTTCCATTTTTTGCTGATTTCAAATACCAAGAAAATGCTTTTTTTTTATCTTTTTGTGTTCCTATTCCATATCGATAGCAATTACCAATTTGATTTTGTCCTTCTATATTTCCATTTTTTGCTGATTTCAAATACCATTCAAATGCTTTTTCTTTATCTTCTTGGGTTCCTATTTCATTTTTGTAGCAATTACCGAGATTATATTGTCCATATTTATTTCCGTTTTTTGCTGATTTCGAATACCACTCGAATGCTTCTTCTTCATCTTTTTGTGTACCTGTTCCATTTCGATAGCAATCACCAAGATTATTTTGTCCATATGGATCTTCATTTTCTGCTGATTTCAAAGTCCATTCGAATGCTTTTTCATTATCTTTTTGTATTCCTATACCTTTTTTGAAGCAATAACTGAGATTAACTTGTCCTATCGCATTTCCATTTTCTGCTGATTTATAATACCAAGAAAATGCTTTTTTTTCATCTTTTTGTGTTCCTATTCCATATTGATAGCAATGACCAATTTGATTTTGTCCTACCATATTTCCATTTTTTGCTGATTTCAAATACCAAGCAAATGCTTTTGTTTCATCTTTTTGTGTTCCTATTCCATTTCGATAACAATCACCAATTTGATTTTGTCCTTCTATATTTCCATTTTTTGCTGATTTCAAATACCAAGAAAATGCTTTTTCTTTATCTTCTTGGGTTCCTATTTCATTTTGGTAGCAACTACCGAGATTATATTGTCCATATTTGTTCCCGTTTTTTGCTGATTTCGAATACCACTCGAATGTTTTTTCTTCATCTTTTTGTGTACCTGTTCCATTTCGATAGCAATCACCAAGATTATTTTGTCCATACGCATCTTTATTTTCTGCTGATTTCAAAGTCCATTCGAATGCTTTTTCATTATCTTTTTGTATTCCTATACCGTTTTTGAAGCAATAACTGAGATTAACTTGTCCTACCGCATTTCCATTTTCTGCTGATTTCAAATACCAATCAAATGCTTTTTTCTCCTCTTTTTGTGTCCCAATAGCATTATGATAACAATAACCAACTGAATTTTGTCCGTTTGCATTTCCATTTTCTGCTGATTTCAAATACCAAGCAAATGCTTTTTTTTCATCTTTTTGTGTTCCTACATTATTTCGATAACAATGACCAACTTGATCCTGTCCTGCCGCATTTCCATTTTCTGCTGATTTCAAATACCATTCAAATGCTTCTTTCTCATCTTTTTGTGTGCCTATACCATTGACATAGCAAAATCCAAGCATATATTGTGCCAATACGTTAGTTTGACTTGCTGACTTTTTATAATTTTCAAAAGCTAATTGACAATTCTTTTCGAGTTTGATTCCGTAATGATAAAAAAATCCCAAAAGTAATGTGAATTGACAGTTTACTTCGAAGAATTTTATACATTCATTATCACTAGAAAATTCTTTTTGTTTTTCAAAAATTACTCTAAAATTTTTAGCTATGTCATCTAATTGCTTGCCAGAAATGAGTAAGTTCCAAAATTTTAACATTAAAGCTTCAAGAAACGATTCAATAGTATCGAATGTTGTGTCTTCTATATTAGGTTTCATATTTTTTTGGATTGTACATGTATCTTTGTTGTTATTTATTGTGATATATGTTGAGGGCAATTGGGATTCATTTTTTTCATGGCTGATCGATTCATTAGTCTGTTTATGGTGAAACTTTGAATTATCAGGTGCTGCGGAAGGTTTTGATAAAGATTCCGGATTAAGAGTTTTTTCAAATGAAGATAAATCCATTTTTTTTCGTATTTTCTAAATATGAAATGAAAAAAATAACGTCCGACAAAAAACGCGTTTTTATTCTTTTAACGAGAAAAGCACGATTGTATCACTCGGAGTTGGTCTCTTAAAATCTGCCAAAAAAGCAGTGGACATGTATATGCAGCATGTAATGAATAAATGAAACAATGAAAGAACGTTAGATCAAAAAACTAATTCTGTCTCTTAAATGTATCATTCAGCCAAAAAAAGCAATATTGATATTGACATCGTGAACATGTAGATGTTGCATGCAAAGAAAGAACGAAGCGCTAAAAAAACGTTCTATCAACATTTCTAATTCTGGCTCTTACATGATCTCTTGATTAAGAAATACCGATACTAACGTTAACGCTAACATTATGGAATATTCCTTGCTTTATCGTTATCATTATATCTTACTGGTGCTTTTTACTTTATCGTTATTATTAGTTTTAATTCGTGATCCATATAACGATAAGAACCAGTGAAAATTTACTAAATTTACTATCTATCTCTATCGCTTATATATAAAAACAATATCGATCCCGAATTGAATTTAATTAGTTTTAAGCGTAAGTATTTTAATTTAAAGTAATATTTCAGCTTGTAATAAGAAAAGATGCCTAATAGGTACATGTATATCTACACACTGGTAAATTTTCATTTCATATTAAATATTAAAAAAATATATTTAACTTAGGGCAACTGCAGATTCCGGAATCGCAATATTGAAAAACGGATGTCAGTTTTCTTTTCACTACACATCGGAAAACATTTTGTTTCAAATAAATAGAAGAAAAATTATATTTATTTTTAAAAGTGATCCACCTGACGTAATACGTTTTTTTATAAAGAACTCATCCTTTGAATCCAAATAAAGAGTAATTATTTCTCTTTTAAGACGACGACGTTAACTGCATCCGGAAATTAATTCATAGCACTCTGTAATTATTATTCCTTTGGTGTAACGAGCTCTGTTATCGGATACTTTGTTATTGATTTTTCGAATTTGACCGTGACTGTGTTATATTTCTTTGCGAAATTGATCATCACTACTACACAGTCA